TATCACATTGAAGAAGGTCAACATCTCCTCAAACACGCTTTCAACACAGGTGGACAAAGTGTTTTCCTGCACCTGAATTTGTGCACAAAGATTTTCAGCTACTCCTTGCAGTCATCTCAACACCAGCTTTTCTCTGCAGTACACACCTACAGTGACCTCAACGACCCGGTACGCCACTGTGGATCACTAAGGGAGAGGAAAACCAAAACAAATCAAACCCTTCCTGTAATTTCCTGTAGTAATAATAGAAGCTATGCAAACTAAGAATCTGACTGGTTCTAACAATTCGGTTTTACTCACATTAAACTTTTTTTTTATTATTTTAGGACAGTTACAATCCAAAAATCAGTTGTTGTGGATAAATTCTAGTCACAATGCATCATCACTCTGGCTGCCATTCACCCCTTCTTCATGACGTTTCCAATTTGTGCTCTTCCACTCCTCTGACCTCCTCCTCTCCCTTCCCACCAGCAGCCTCCCAAAGCAGTAAGCCTGCCTGACTCCATCCAGAGCCAAGGAGAAGTCTCAGCACTATGCTCCCAGGGCTGGCAAGGTACAGGAAAGTGGCATCAGCCATGCCCAGAGCCAGCAAAGCTCACCAGCTCACATGCAAGGCACCGGCACACTGACTGGCTCCAGGCCAGAAATAACTCCACCAAACTTCCATCATGTTTCCCTGTGCCCAGCAGATCTTGATTCCAAGTTCTTTAAACTTTGTTTCCTTGCAGGTGGTTCCTTTCCCTCTGTCACAGCAAAGCTTCCAGCAACCCAGGGTCAGAAAAGACGCCAGATGTTGAAATCTCAGCATGACAAACATTTTCCGTTCACAACTAAATCTCAACCACCAAGTTTAAGCTGAACTGCTCACGAGAATATGCAGTAAACACTCGCTACCCCAGCAAGCAAAAAGACTGCGGGACTAAATCGTGCTCCACTACGTAGAAGTTACAGAACAAACACTACTGCAAGAACTGCCTGCGAACAGGCCAAGCAGGTAAAGCCGAGGGCACTTGGCGAGAGCAGGCCCCTGCACAACTACGCACGTATGGAGAAACACGCATTCTGGGCAGCCTGGACAGGTATTTCACCAAAGTTGTTAGGGTTTTACAACATTTAAACAAGAATCCTCCATTTCCAGGGAGTGAATGGGCTCAGGTTATCCAAACCAGTGCTCTATGCAGAGAGAGCCTGAGGAAAGGGTCAGTTCTTCCACTTCACTCCTTTGGGCCACTACAGCTCGAGCTTCAGGAGTGTCACCCGCTGAGTGACACAGCAGCCCCCTCTGCTGATGAGGGCATTTAGCAGGGAGCAGCAGGCAGGCCCACCAGCAGGCACTCGCTAGGAGCTGCGGAGCTACTCCACATCTACATCCCTCCTTACCGGGCAAAGCTTCCAAGGAAGCCAAACTGACCGAGGGCAACGAGGTTTTGGTATTCTTCCCAAAACAAAACAGTTAAAAAGCACATTAAAAACTCTGCAACACAATATCAAGGTATAAATTCCCAAAGAGAGCAAGATCACTGTCCTCATTCCTACTGTATTCTCCACATGCGCTTATCGTGCACGTAAATACTGCTAACGGTTACCCACGGTCTGTTACACACGGAGCTGAACAACAGGGCGTGCAATGTGGGCCGCTCCACGGCAACACCTAGGCCTAACTTTTTGTGTCTGCCTGCCTCACGGTGACATCTGGATACCCCAACTATTCAAAATGGCTCTGTTCTATTTGGTTCAGTGACATCATACGTACGCTTCCTGCATTATCACAAACCAAAGCCGCTGAGGTCTATTTGGTAGTCAGAAGGAATCGATTTTTAACCCGTGGAAACCTTGAAAACCATTTCTATTGCAAGTAGAGAACATGCAGACAGTCTCTCGACGGTGAGACTGCCCACTCACAGTGGAACACACAGAGGCTGGAACCCTGGGAATACCATCTTCTACTTCTTTTGGTCGATGTGAATTTAAAGTAGTTCAGGACGCATGAAACTTTGACTTCTTACAAGCCAAACAGCGAAAACACCACCTAGTTTCAAACCAAGCATCACAGATTTCAGCAGTTTCACCAAACCCCTAGAAAACTGTTCTGTCAACTGGAGGAATTAGTACTGGGTTCTGAACACGGCACTTGATGTCTTCAGTACGGTTGTACTTGTCGTCTGCATGTGAAAAGCCTGGAAGGTGAGCAGCATAACTGCGGGTGGAAACGATTACCCAAGGAACACTTAGACATCAACACAGAAGGTGCACACAGACTCATTAGCCACGAAGCACAGACAAGCCAGCAGATGAAACTAAAAAAAAAAAATCACTCTCCTAGCATAAGCTGAGCGCAGCTTCAAGGTCTTACCCCTGCTAGGCATCAACAGGCGCTTCTTCATGTTGCCTGATAGAGCACAAGTGAACAGAAAAGAGAAAAACATCACATCAGCAACCTGAACAGCAGCAGTTCAAAAAAGTTCTTAATGTTAAAAGGCAAACAGTAAGATATCAAATACTTGTAACTGTATTTTAGATAAGCCACATATAAAGTTCAAATTAAAGGTAAAAAATGAGAAAAGATCTCCCTCCCTGCTCAAAGTCACCATGAAACCAACCGTTCTTTTCCCCTGTTAGGGAGAGCTACCTTCCATGTTCTCGCTCCTGTTAAGACCATTTGAACCGACCCTTTTATCCTCATCTGAGAAAAAGACTGCACTTTCTCTTCCCTGACACTCAGGCACGAGCAACTCTTCAGATCCCTGGAGTCCGTGCCAGGAACGTCCCGCACCTATCTCCCACTTCAAACACCTTCCCCATGCCTTTTCCTCCTGAGGAGAAGCAGCCCGAAGTCCCCTGCGCCGGGGTGCTCAGCGACAGGGCCACCAGAAGCGAACGCTCGGGTTCTGCACGAGGCCAGGAGCAAGTTTACCCCCCGCCAGCTGGGGCACGTTTCCTCCCCCTGCCAGGCAGCAGCCTGCCTTCCCCAGCGCGGGCAGCCTCACGTAGCTCTGCCCGAAGCCAGGTGACCTACACGTTACAAAGGCACCTGGGAACTGCACTGCTACTCCCTACAGGTTAAAAAGCTGTAAACCTCCACAGAAAAAGGAAGCATCACTGGAAAAAAAAAACCGCTATTAAGGGTTTCTTCATACTACTCCTTTAAAACTGGAAGGGAAGTTTCTCCTTCGCTATCCCATTCGCAAGGTTGGTCGAGCTAGGCAGAGTTCCACCGGCACAGCAGCTTTACGTGCAGGCACCACACATCACGTGCCTCGCACTCACGAGAAACAGGACAAGTCTCTTGTACAGAAGGAAAAAATTAACCTCCCTCAAGAATAAGAAACTTGGAATTCATATACAGAATTCTAGTTTTAAACAATCTCCTTGCATACCGAAAGAAGAAAAAGCCTACACAGACAATACACACATAGCAGAAAAATATTTACCGTCCATTCCGTTGTGTTGTTCATAACTTCTTTTTCCCAGGATAGTTGGGGACCCATTATTAATGACAGGCGTAAACTTAGCAGGAGTCAGATTGTTGAGAGAACTGGACAAGCTCTTTGCAGGATCTGGTTTCGGAGGGCACGGATGAGACTCTGTTGTAAAAGAGCAAGGTGGGGGTTTTTATTAGTGAAGGTACTGGAATTATAAATCTGAAAACAACCTGCAAACCTCCAAGGTGACCAAGTACATCTCCCTTTATGTACAAGCCATCTCAGTCAATAATTTCGACCAGAGATTGCTATTTATATAAGCATTTTAAGTATATCTGGGAATTCACCTCTACCGAAGATGCTGAAACCAGTGTCATAATATTATCCTATAATAAGAGTTGATAACAAAAGCACTTTCTATCTATTTCCAAATCACTGCTCTCAGAGAATTTAGGAATATTTTGGGGATGCTCTGTATTAAAAACCACCTTTGAGCAGTCATGCAACACCCCTAATCTCTGGGGAAATGTGCCAGTTTTGCAGGGTCTGTAAAAAATACAGTTTCTAAACTGGCCAAAGAAGTGGGGATCCCAAGCACCACCATAAAGAACTGAGTCTGAATTCAAACTTTCGGCTGAGGCAGAGATCAAGCACTAGCTGTTCAACCGAAAAAATGTTGAGAAAGCTAAAAACAACAGCAAATGGGATCTTCAAACGAGCTTGTTCTCCTGCAGCCCCGCTAGCTGAGTAACATGTGACCTAGAGGACACTGAGCACACCACCTCCAAAACCGCATTCTCGCCAGTCCGACAGCCCCCCGCCCCGTTTCTGTCACTCCCCTCTCCCAGTCAAATGGAGACCCTGACCCAGCGCTGATGAAATCTCAACATCCACTGCTACGTTCTGCACAACTGTGAAAATCAGGATTTTACCCAGCAGCAAACCTTCTCTCATTATTGGTTTTATTTGGTTGCACTATCCGTATCCCAAGGTGTCTCAGTCTGTGTATCTCATTAGTATACAGTAGTACAACACTCAGGGAAGCAGTAAATATTTAATAAACCCTGAGTCTTGCTGCTGTAACCACCCGTGTCTTCAGGGTACCTCTAGCAACTGGCAACACTAGGGAAAGCGATTTTGCATTCATCTGGAGTCAGAGCTGGCATGTCACGTAGCTGGCCTCTTCCAGCACCTAAAACTTACACCGAGGTCCTGGGCAGAGCTGCTCGGTGCTCCCCCACTGATCAGTTGAAAAGAAAACAGCCCTCAAGAAAACTGCCAAAAAAAAGGAAGTAAAGAATGGAAATACAGTCCCCCTTGTCTAGCTCCAGCACAGAACTGCCAGCAACTGACTCACAAGTGGTGGGACCGAGTGTTGTCCTAAACCCGAGAGCTTCTTGGAGTATCCAACTGCAGGAACTGCCTCCAGCCAGCTCAAAAATACGGAACAATGGGACTGACCAATTGTTCCTGAAACATTATGTTGGTGCCTCCATTAACAGATGGTGACTTGTCCCCACATCCATGGGAGACCACAGCAAACGCATCCCTTCCTGCACTTGGAAAAGTGTCTGGTACAGCTCTGCGAGCCCAGAGTGGTCTGCTGAGCCTCTAGGCCTGTCAGGAAAAGGAAAAAGGACAAGTTCATGGGAAGGCTTTGGTTTTAATCCCGAACCAGCATCTAAATCCAGAACCAAATGGGAAAAGAAATGGTCAGCAGATTTAGTTAGTAGGTTTTTTTTTTGGTTGGAGGTTTCTGTGTTTGGTGGTGTTTGGGTTTTTTTAATACCTAAATACCGGAGTACTGCTTCTAAAGGCTTTCGAACCACTTGCTTTAATAGCAATGGGTTTTCTGATGCCTCGGGTAAACGTGCTGTGCCTGTAAAATAAAGAAAAATAATTAGAGGGTAAAGACAATTAGGTATTACAGCAAAACCAAATGAATAACTCAAGTGTCCTGAAAGAGCTTTCCAATCAAAAGGAATCTTACAGGTTGCAAGCATGTCTTGGCAACGGGACACAAATGCAGAATGCTAACTGCCAATAGCAAATAGGAGTATTCTAAACCAGACAACTCATGAATTTTTAAAGCTATTTGTCTGGCCTACAGTTGGTGAGAATGCTCTGCAAGCGTAGCTAGATTCTGTGAAACAACTTGGTAGATGCGAGAGAGCATCTCAAGAAGCTGCAACTCAAGCTTTGTAGGAAAGGGATCTCAACGGGCTCCTTTGCAAGTAGGTCCCAGCGGCATCGCCACTCACATTCGGCTTTGATTGCTGCGCTGTTAATAGGCAGATAGGGATGTCTTGCAGCGTGCCAAGGGCGCAAGATATCTCGACATAAACGTCTGGCAATTCTTGTCAGTTTGGTTGTATGCAGATAAAAAGCCTGTCGTGTCTTCATTGCAAACTTGGGACTCCCACTGTTTCGTACTGGCACGCCATGAGGACTCTAGAAAGAAAGAAAAATAAGTATTATTTCTAAAAAATTATTATTATTAAAGGAGAAAGTTTATCATATAAAATCACTTTCAGCTACTGATTCACAGACATAAGGACAAAAACAGTACTACAGGTGGAAGTATTTTAAGCCCAGCTATTCCCCATTTACCAAATCTTACCCGTCACATTAGGAATTTTCTTCCAAAATATCTCAAAGGATAAAACGAAGGCAAACGTTTTCTCTACTATTTACTTCTGCGCTGTCCCAAGTTTTAAAGTAGGGATCCAAAAGCCAGACCTGAAGATGTTACCTGATGCTATCACCTGATTTAGTGTTTACAGAGCCAACAGAAAGACTCCCAAACTTTATATGCTTCAAGCTGCTCCGGATATACAATGCAAACCCCTTACATAAAAGCATTTGTAAGAGGGAGAGGAAAATCAGAAAGCATCTGTATGGCTAAAATACACACGACAAACTCACTTCCCAAAGCAAACTTAGAGCACACAAGAATGTTTTTGTCTCAAAGTTGCAAGAATTTCTGGTCTAATTCTTACTCTGAACTCAATGAATTTATTTAGAGTTGCCAAATATTCACCGTGTGTAATAAAGAATAATACTGAAAGGCACTTATCTACTACCAAGAGTGAAAGCAGTGTCTTCCTCATGAAAAGCAGCTAAGTCAAGCCATAGCATAATGAAAGTAGTATCTTGTTATCTCAAACCTGCCCACGGTTGGAAAACAGGACAAAGTTTCAGTTTGGGGAGAACAAGGCTTTCCCCTCTCTATTTGCATGCTTTTTTTATTAACAAACAAGAGGTATAAGGCTGATAAAACCTGGAAGTTATCTCAGCAATTAGGGAGCTTCAGAGGGCAAACAGAAGCCTGGAAAGGACAGAAGTTAAACAAAAGAAATAGGATAAAAAAGGAATGACAGCAAAGACTAGGAGAGAGGAAATAAATCAATCTAAGACCAAAGTTCAGCATGCACTATCCTTCTGTCCATGCAATGCAGCTACTTATTCCAACCACCCCAATGTATGATTGGAAGTTCCAGACTGAACTTCTGCCAAATGCAGAAACATTCTGAGAATTTTGGCTTTGAAATAAAAGGGGAAAAATTAAACAGAAGCAGCTCAATACAAATGCGTACTCCAACCTATCCAAAAGGAAGGATGATTAATTAAAAAGAAAAATAAGACGAAGTAGAAAAATAAGATAAGGGAACTCTAAAATGCCACTAGCTATTTGGGGTATCTAATGATGACTGTGCCTTAGGAAAGGAAACAGGTTTCAGGAAATAATGAATTCTTTTATGAAAAAAAAAAAAAGTCCTCCTCCCCCTACAGCAAAAATCAGGGAAACCAGAAACACTGGCTGGCATTTCAGTTTCTCCCATCTTCATTAAGTTATCCCATGGATTTGATGGCTAGTTTGCTACACCAATGCCGGGTTTTTCCTCAGGGCAGTACTTGCCAACAAATGGCTTACAGCTGAAAAGAACGTGCCAACTTTTGCAAGACACGAAATGCTAAACCCAAGGATGACAATGGAGGCTGAAGGCATTCTTCTTGTTGTTAAATATTTAAGAACAGCAAACAATTAGTTAGGTACTGTGGCACCTTGCTTTCCAGGCAAGAGCAGTGAAGCAGCGCGCTTCGCGGATACCTACCAAATTATTGCGGTTTGGTCCTGGTCTCTCCCCATCTAACCGTGTGGGCATTTTCAAGCCACCGTATTTCTTCCAGTAGGTCCAACAGGATGCACAGAGGCGACACTGCATGTTAGGGGGACCCCAAGAATACCACTGGTAAGACTGTGTGGCTAGAGATAACAAAGGTGGAAATTATATATATCCTTAAACAGGATCACTTTTCAGAGCTTATTCTTGTTAGAACCATCACAAAAGAAAAACATCACAAAAGAAAACCCACATGAAGACAGCGCAAAGCTCAAACACACCTTAAAAACCCAACGATGGCTTCACCGTCATCACCACTGTTAATGTATTTGGGATTTCAGCAGAATTAATTATATACATAAGCCCCTCTGAAAACATGAACAGAAATAAACAACTAAAGAATGTGAGAAACCTAACTTGTCTGCTCGCATAGTCCTGCATTCCAGCACCTCAAGAGGCTCCCCATGAAGGAGCACAATTATTAGAACTCAGTATATTAATATCAAGCAGCAGACCAAATATAGCAATATCAAATAAATTGCAATCTTCTGTCCCCTCACCCTTCCAAAACCTTCTCTCCTCCCCCTCCCAGCTTTAACTTCACTGTTTCCCACACAGCATTCACGCTCTCTGTGCACGGCTGCCATACCGGCGTGTCACTTACTGTAACAGCTCTCACAGGCCCGTCCTGCTCCCGCGTTCTGTGCCTGTACTCCAGTACCATTCACCACTCCTGGCTTGACATTATTTACATTGATCTGGTTGGGGTTTGGCTTGTTGCTTAAAACACAAAGCAAAAAGGACAAACGTTAATCCAGGCATGCAATTTCCTACTTCACTTTCCAAATTATGGCCCAAAATGTTGGAAGATTTCAATTCGGTTCATTGTGTGGCTTTCCAGAACAAGCTGTACTTACCAGCAATCTGACTTCATAAACAAACAGCTGTAATAATTTTAACACTATTATAATAATAACTCAATACTTAAACATCACCGATAATAAAAATAATTATCATAATAGTTAGATGCCACTTTCCAGAGTCCAAAACCATTTAAAAATGATAAGCCAGTGAGGTCAGGTAGGTATCTTGCCCACTATCCTAGACATTCTGATCGAGGTGACAAAAAGATCTCACCTACAGATGCGTCTCAGTCCGTAACATGCTGGGTATTTTACTTAAATCTCCACAAAGAAGGCTGGGGGACGGAGCAGGAGAGCTAAGACAAGAAGGCTCAACACCTGCCTTAGTCAGGGGAATATAACCCTAGACTGCAGTCACGAACATTTCCACCTTGCCTTACCGCAAAGGTTTGCGTCACGTAGCCACGGTTCACAGGAGGACACCCCACACATGGAACAAAAACCTTTGAACGTGGTGAATACACAGAGACTTAAATGAGTATGAGCCTTCTGATCAGGCTTAAACTACGGCTTCCGCTTCTAATAGAAAGCATTTAGGTTTCTACTAAGTGGAAAAAGTCTAAAAGCCCAACGTTCGCAAAGCGAGAAATGCAGTGACGGCTGTCACTAATACATTCTAATATAACATCTGAATCACATAGAATCA